TCTTCTCTCTCTATATATATATATATATATATATATATATATATATATATATATATATATATATAAATAGTTTATACAGTGTTTGCACTACATGTTAGTAAAAGAATTTAAAAATTCACTAAACCGTAGAATGAATAGGAAAAAAGACTCCTGTAGCTTCCACTATTGTATAAAGTAGTAGATGTAAATTTCAGTGGACCAAATACGCATCTCTCATTCTTTCTTTTGAAGGTTTGTTTACTCACGAAAGAAGTACAAGTAATATTCTCAGGACATGAATGCAGCTTTTTTTTCCTTTAAGATCTGATAACCAGGGAGATGTTATCAAGTGTCATAGGAACAGATTTTCACAACCCTGCCTTTTGAGCATTTCTTCATTATGATCTGTAATCACAACTTCATGACAGAATTTGCTTCAAAGTATTCCAATAATATGTAGAATTCAAAGCAGGAATTATTCATAGCATCAAGGTCTAGCCTTATACAAAATACAGAGTGGGTATCAAATAATCAAGATTGAGATCCAAACTAGGATCAGGAGGGGGTAGAAACACATCAGACAAGAGTACAGAAATTGAAATGAGACAATACAGATTGCTTAAAAAATATTAAATCATCATGAATTTGATTGTATTCGTATGTGACAATTTTTGGTGAAGATATATAAAAATAAACCCATGCTGAAAAAATGTTCCTAATGGTACAATACATGACATATGGAGTTACAAATACATTTAACAACTAACAGGTTCTCTTCACAGATAATGAGCTAAGGAGACAACTGTAATAAAAAGTATCAGACTTTACGAGCCAGTGTCCTCTGCTTGGTTCCATGCTGTACTACCTTTTCCTCCACAGGAAGGCCCTTATGCCGTCTGACTGCGTTAATTAATTTTCTTGCCGTATTTGGAAGAACACTGGAACCATCTCCAAACTCTTCAATCTCCTCTTCTGTTTTAGGTACAAAGAAAGGATCCTCAGGAAGTGCTTCCCAGTGGCTAAGTACAAGAAGTGCACTTGCAGCACCAGAAGTCCACCTTCTAAGCTCATCCGCAAAACCAAAACTCTCAGAAACAGGAACATATGCATGCACAGTGAAGAAAGGTGAACCTTCTTGCATCTCTTCCTTCAGAACTCGGGCCCGTCTTCGAGAAAGTACAGCATACATGGGACCCAAATATTCAGTAGGTGTATTCAATTCACAGAAGTACATTGCTTCTACAAGCCGTGGCTTATTCTGAAGCACTGCTGCTCTACAAGCATCTTTGACAGTTGCAATTACTTGCCCTGCAAATAGGCCATACTGCTCAGATTGTTGGTGTGTTTCAGATTCGTCATGCTGCCCTGAAAATGGTGTTATGCGTGCCTCAATGACAAATGCCAAACCCCACATAGGTTCATCACACAAGGGTCCAGCTGAAGTGGCCAATTGGAAGCCAGATATAACACTACTCTCAAGGTGCTCAGCATCTGTGATCGAAGCTTGGTTTGCATTTGAAGATGTCTCAGCAACCGAGTCACTGACACTAGAATCAGCCACAAAGCCGAACCTTTCTGATACCCGAGGACAACCTCGTATTAAGACAGAATTATCAGTACTTTCTGCTTTAATATCAGGAGTAAAGAGAATGTTAGGACCAATCTGCCTAGGTCCAAGTGCCCATATCCTCCTCAAAATCTTTTGCCACTTCAATTTACATTTCTCAGCATGGTCCTTGTCATTCTCATTCCTGCTCAAAATATCCCCCTCCACTGCATCCAATATGCGTTTTTTTAGTACTTCAGTTGGGTTATCGTTTTCAAGAATACTCTGCCTCTGGGTTTCCAAACTTTTTACTGTCTGCCCCGACTTTACTCCAATGACATCACCAAGTAAATCAGAGCTTTCGTCGAGCACCTTTGTAAGAGAAGGTAGAAGTTTCATCACCTGCACCCGAACAACACACCTTCCATTGGGTGTAGATTTTTCAACATAATCGGATCTCCTGCTAAGAACTTTCAAATTTTCCAGCACATTGGATACGTCTCCCTCAATGCTCTCTTTGTATGAAACAAGAGGCGGAGAGACCTCCAAGCTTACCCTTGCAAACCTCTCCTTTAAATCCTTAACGCATCTCTCAAGATGAACTTCTCCGGCAGCAGCGAGAACGTGCTCTCCCCTTGCAGACACCGTGACCTCCACAAATGGATCCGCTCGATTCAGAAGTCTCAATCCTTTGAGCAGCGCACCCACATCAGCAGGATCAGACGGCTCAATTGCGACTCTCAAAGTCGGGGCAACTTGGAATGCCATACTGGAAAATGGCCAACAGTTCCTAGTTGAAGAAAGGGTAGCACTTTTCAATATATGCTGGCCAAGGCCAGCAATGGCAACAATATTCCCTGCCTTGGCAGATGTCACTACTTTCAACCCTTGCCCCATCATCAAATACAGTGATTTCAACTCAGCCTCCTGTATATGCTTCTGCATAGATTCCCCTTTCAACGGATCATACAACGGAGAGAGCACAAAAACTCTCTGCCCCGCATACAAAACCCCACTAAAAATTCTAGCAAACGCCAAAAAACATTCATCCGAATCAGCCTCTCCCTCATCACCATAACCATTGCCAACCTCCCCCCTTTGTCCAGGCAGCATCTTAACCGGCACAGCAAACATCTTCGACACAAAAGCAACACAAGGAACCTCCTCCCCACATTCACACCCCTCCACCGCCTTCCTCACCATCTCCACCTCCTCTACCACCGCCCTCTCATCCTCAGCAACCTCAACCTCCCTCTTCGGAACCAGCCTCGATATCCGATACGCCTGTGCCACAACGGGGTCCGGCAAACACCTAACCACCATCCCCAAAACCGCATCCGAAAGTGGAAGCCACCGGCTCATAACCGCCTGAAGCACGACCTTCACATCCTTATTCTGCAGCTCCCGCGGCGGCACCGACAAACTAAACGACCTAACAACCTTCTCAACCAACCCCTTGTCCCCATCCAAAGCCCCCTGATAAACCTGCCACAACGGCTCCAACACAAACTGAACAAACATAGGCTTCTTATTAGCACCAACCCCTTTCTTCCCAACAATCATCTTCGTCTTAGGGTTATAAAACTTGGCACCCCAAAGCGCTCTCTGAAGGGCATTCACACTAGCGCCAAGCTTGGAAGCGTATATCTCAGCAAACTCGCGAATCCCAAAGCCCCAACCGTCCAAAGCGCAAGCGAATATAACGTTACCTTTCTGCGGCTGGAAGACATCCTCGTTGTCGTCGTAATCCTCGAGGGCCTCACCGGAGGTGGAAGCGCCGGCGAGGAGAGAGTCGACGTCGGACAAATACTTCTCGGATTTGTAAGCGCTGACTATTCCGTTGACCTCGTGCACGATGCGGGAGAGGCGCGTGTAGGCTTCGGAGGGAGTGAGTTTGAGTTCGGTGATCAAGCGGTCGAGTTTGTTGAGGACGAGGCAGGGGGTGAGGCGCTCGATCCAGCACTGGCGGAGGACGGCGTGGGTCTGGATGTGGACGCCCTCGACGGCGTCCACCAGGAGGAGAGCGCCGTCGCTGAGGCGGGCGGCGGTGGAGACCTCGCTGCAGAAGTCGATGTGGCCGGGGGAGTCGATGAGGTTCACGGCGTGGCGCTCGTACCGGAGGAGGATGGAGGAGCTCTTCATGGTGATGGCGCGCCGCTGCTCCTCGTCCAGGTAGTCCATGAAGCGGACGCGACCGGCCAGCTTCGGGTGGACGACGCCGCCGCCCGCCGCGGCGATGAGGTGGTCGGCGAGGGTGGTCTTGCCGTGGTCGACGTGCGCAAGGATGCAGATGTTGCGGATTCGGTCGGTCTCGGAATCGGAAGTTCCCTCCTCCATGTTGATGGCAATGCGGTGGGAGAAATTTTGTTTGCAAGAGAAACGAGTAAAGGAAAAACCCTAACCATTTTAACCAACGGCACGCTAACTCGATTTCCTTGGTAGGAGGAAGAGCCACACGGTGTCGTTTCGTCAACAAAATAAACTTTCACGCTTTCACTCGCTTATTTTAAAAAAATAAAATTAAATAAAATAACTCTTCAGGTTGGGAAAAGAATACGCTGACATAAAAGAGAGATATTTGTAAAAAACAAATAATAACAATAATTTTTAAATATATTTTTAGTATTTATTAAATGAGTTATTTATTGTAAAAATATATATATATTATGTCTCATCTCTTTAAAATTAAAATTTTTGTTATGGTCATTAATATTATACAATTATTTTTGTATTTATCATATGATTAAGTGATTATCTCTAATAATACTCACAGCTATATTTGATATTATATTAGTAATATGTAATATATCCCTTAAAAGTTTTATAAGTATTTAAAAATAAATATTATGTATTAAAAATAATGATTTTAAGTTTTAGAGAGGTGTAAATCAAACAAAAACATTTTATAAAAATTAAAATAAAATTTATTCTCTCTTTCTAAAAAAAATAAACTTACACCTTTTTAAGGATTAAAAACAACAATTTCAACTTTTAGAACAATGTAAAATAAATAATTTTTATAAGAGTGAGAATGGAAGACAAAAAAATATATTTTTATATGTAAAAGTAAGAATTTTTGTATTAAGAAATTTTTCTCCAAAATTTTCAAGATATAATAGTCAAACTATTTTCAAATTGAAAATATAATTTTGTAACAAAAAGAAAAAAAATTTGTTATTTGAAATAAAAAAAATTTATAATTTTGTATTAATTATCTAATATTTATTATTATTTAGGCTAAAAACCTATTTTGGTCCCTTATAATAATTGTTTGTTTCAATTTAGTCTCACTTTTATTTTTTGCCTCAATTTGGTCCCTAATAAATTAATTGGTTGCAATGTCATACTTCCGTCGAAATTATTTAAACGGAGTTAACTGTTGACCACGTGGATGCCACGTGAATGCCACGTAGATGCATAAGTGGATGCCAAATTTTATTAATGCATCTGGAACCAGAACGGCCCGTTCTGAAACCAGAGCGGGCCGTTCTGGTTGCACATGTTGTGTGTTAATTTTGAATTTGGAACGGGTCGTTCCATATGCAAAATTAACACATCACGAGTGCAGCAGAACGGGTCATTCTAGATTCAGAACCAGCCGTCCCAAAACGCATACGTACGTTCAACAAAATGCCGCAATGTTTCAAAAATTGAAAATAAAAATTCATAACATATCATAAATTTAAAGACAGAAATATGGTTCAAAGATTGAAAATAAAAATTCATAACATAACATAACATATACTAAAAAAGTTCAAAGAAATTACTGAGAAGGGAAATCATCTGGATAACGCTGAAGGTTTCAATAATACATCTTATCCACCATATAACACTGAATGGCTGATAGGATATCAGCATTATCTACTTGTACATGTGTAATAAATATTGTCCTCACGATCTAAAATTTCTGGATATAATTATCAACTGTATGTGTTGCATTCTGGAACCAGAACGACACGTTCTAAAACCGGAACGGCCCGTTCTGGTTTCACTCTTGGTGTGTTAATTTAAAAAATGTCTATGATAGATAAATATATAATATTTATAACATGTATTTTTAACAAAAATTAGGTTTAAATCTGTTAAATTATAATATAACATAATCTGACCTAGTTTATTTTCATCCTTAATCATAATTATAGATATAATTTTTTTTTCAAAAATAACTATAATATATATTTATACTTTTAAAAATTA